GGGAGGATTCCCTGGGGAAGGCCCAGGACACGCTGGGGGGACTATGTCTCTCGGCTGGCCTGGGAACGCCTCGGCCTTCCCCCGGAGGAGCTGGAGGAAGTGTCTGGAGAGAGGGAAGTCTGGGCATCTTTGCTTAGACTGCTGCCCCCGCGACCCGGTCCCGGATAAGCGGAGGAAAATGGATGGATGGATGGAAGAGTAGGATCATTTCACACTGATTGTAGATGTATTATACAATAACACCAAGTTTAAAGTTGGAACGTTAGTTGATTAATCAATTTGTCATTTGACAGAAAATTAATGAGAAACAATTTTGGTAATAAGCTGCATTCAGATTTTTTTTGTTAGATGTGTGTGTGTGTGTGTGTGTGTGTGTGTGTGTGTGTGTTAGTGTGTGAAGACGCAGGGGGCCCAGCTGACGAGGCCTCTCACTGGGACACTGGTGGGCCTAACTCGCCAAGGGCCCAGCTCTCGGCTCCACCTCTGACAGGCTTCATACTTATTGCTCAATGACATTCGCTGTTTTCCTTCAGTTTGCTGTAAGATTGATTCCCCGGATATGTTTGAAATATCTCCAGAGCCCTACAGCAGGGTGACTGGCACTGAGAGTGGGGGAAGCAGTGGGGGAGTAGGAGGAGATGCTGTCTTCAGGGCAGAGGACAAGTAAATATGAAAATCAAATATAGTTTTCAGAATCAACAGATGAGCTCTCCATTATCTGCAGAATATGCAGTCACATTACAGTCAAATTTTAGATGCAAGTTAAATTAAGTGTGTTTGCTTCTTACCTCTGAGTGTGTTAAGGTCAAACAAATGTGTTGAATGCATTTGCCTTCTCACAAAATGTTTGTAGAAGTGTAGATATAAAATTGGTTTTAGAGTACCTCTGTGTTGACCAGCCCTTTACTAGTGCATTGCTACGCAATTTTTTTTTTTTTTTTTTTAAACATGTTACCACCACTGTGGTGCGACTTTGGTTTAGTGGGTAGAGTGGTTGTCTCCCAACCGGAGGGTTGGAGGTTCGAATCACAGTGCCAGCAGTTCCACATGTTGAAGTGTCCTTGGGCAAGACACTGAACTGAACCCCCAAGTTGCCCCCGATGGTTAGAGCCATCGGTGTTTGCGCCGCAGATGGCTGCCTCGGTTCTGTACCGGAAACAAATTCCTTGTGTGTAACATACTTGGCCAAATAAAAGTGATTATCCTTATCCACTGTCAAACATGATCTTGTTGGCAGGACTGTGTCTCACATCGC